TGGGTAATGCCTTCAACAAATCCTTAGATTCCCTTTTCGGGTTTGATCGGGAGTACTCTACCTCTCCGTAGCCATTTTGGCTCAAGCCTTTTGTTCTCAATTTGGCTTGATTCGTTTGGACTGATGCTCCGTTTCCTGCTCTTGATCTCACCCTTTGTGGTGGTGGTGGCTTTCACAAGTTGGGGTGAGTGGCTTTCAGTGCCGGAGTTGTTGTGGTACCGTGTTTCGACATCTCTCCGAGCCCTCAAAGCCATCTACACTTTGCCAGAGCAGCATGTGAGTGATTTTCTGGAGTCCTACAGGCTCTTTGACCAAGAGCAGGTAACAGGAAAGAACCGAGAAGCGGAGAACACGGTGGCCTACTACCAGGTTCTGAACCATCTATGTGCCGTTGGGGAGGTGGAGAAGATGTACATACCACCGGTGATGGACCCAAGTCGCAGCATTTTCCAAAATCAAGTAATTTGGGAAGAGAGGGGTGTGGCCGACAAGCTTGGCATTGGCCCTAATTCAAAGGTCTTGGACGTTGGTTGTGGGCGTGGCCGAGTGGCTCACCACATTGCGAGCTATTCAGGTGCCCATGTCACGGGGCTTAACATTGATCGGACTCAGCTGAAGATGGCCGAAGAACATGCCCACATCACCAACATGGAGACGCAGCTCAACTTTGTGCATGGCAATTACAATGATCCGCTACCTTTCGCAGATGAGACCTTTGATGCCTTGTACCAAGTGCAAGTCCTCACATATACAGTTGATCCTGTCAAGCTCTTCAAGGAGATGTACCGGGTGCTGAAGCCAGGGGCCAAAGTGTCGTTTTTGGACTATGTGCAGCTGCCTGCCTTCAATATCTCGAATCCAGATCATCAAGAGTTCTTGCGGAAGGTCAAGCCCGTCTTGGGAGCAGTATGGACACCCAAGCCCTCTGACTTCACTGAGCCCCTCAAGAAGGCTGGATTCCAGATTCTTTCCAGTGAAGATGCCAGCGTGGGTGGACACCAGTACCCTTTGATTGAGAAGGCTGATACATTCTTTGTGGCCGCACGATGGCTGCTCTCCATGTTGACGAAGATGCACATCATTCCTTCCCACTTCCTCACGCTCTTTGAGCGGCTTACGAAGCATGGTGAGGCTTTTGTAGAGGCTGACAAGATGGGGCTCTTTACAACCAGTTGGCAGATTATTGCACAGAAGCCAGAACAAGAAAAAAATGTAGCACCCGGACAACTGTGGCTCGCTTGTTTTCACAAGCCTGCTGCCCTGTCGGTGCAATGTACCAGAATTACATGACCTTCTCAGGACGATGTTTAGATTTGGAGTTCTGCACGGCGGCTGAAGACAGAATTCGTCGAGTTTTCCTCACCAGCCAATCGCTGCAGAGTTTATGATGTCCTGAGACGTAGCTAGTACTCTACTTCAGGTGAACTACCCCAACCGCGGGAGTCACCATCCACCACTACCAGGCCTGGTGGTCCCTGAAAACGCCGTCTTATCGGCGTGGTCCCTGCATCTGCTGCGTCGGCGTGGTGCGCCGCTCGGCGCTCGGCGCTCGGGGGGGCAGGGCCGTGGGGCCGGGCCGGGGCACAGGAGACTTGCAGCTGGATGAAGGAAGTCATCGTCACCGTGTGCATGAAGGACGCAGACCGACCCGTCGCGTGTGGCCCGCGTTCCCGGGAGAATTGAGGTCGGAGGGGACGACCTAGTGAGACCCGGAAGAAAAGAGAGGTGGTTTTCTTTTGCTCTGTCCTCGCCAATTGGGGAGGTGGACCTCGGATTTATCCCTTCTTTAGCGTGTGTGACTAAGAGTTGAAGGTGGGAGGAGCTGAAGGTTTGGAAACATCTTTCTGATCCCAGACACATCGTTTGTATGGTATATTTACCGCCCCATTCAGTTGGTTTGAGGGATCAATGATATATTGGCAGACATGGCGGAGTGTCTGGTGATAATTCCATGTACTATTTTATTTTTCGAGTATACTATGTATGTTGAGTGACATTAGGGTACAGTACAGCCCGTATAAGTCTGGCAGAGGATTTCGAGACGGCAGCTATCCAGAGACTTCGCAGCATTAGGTTTTGAGGCGTTTTTGGAAGTCGCATCACAAATGTCTTTATAAAAATAAGAGAGGATGATAGATTCGTTGCACCACGAACTGTTGATGGAGAAAGCCCATTCGGCCACCACCAACCCCAGCGCAGGGGCTCGGCAAGATGGATGGACAAGAGTCAGTAAGGTGTACCCACGGAAGAGGAGGAACCGAGGAACCTGGTGCCCGAAAATGTCACATTGGATTGGTTTGGAACATTTACACGAAGCCATGGTGTACACCCCCCAAAACTATGGGCTTCATGGGGTTCCTACAGATTTTCCCTCCATTTTGGGATGGTCACCATGGTCACCTTTGCACCGCAGCTTCTCACCTTCCTCAGCTCAGAGCTAGCTCAACAGGACATGTGGCGGCAGATCCTGAGCTTGCCTCCCTGGGATCCGCCCCTTGGTCAGACGACCTCGTGCGACTGAAGCTCTCAGAGAGAGATGAAGCAAGATGAAGGTCACGAGCCGAGCCATATAGAGTCGAGCTATTAAACACATGCACTCACACGCGGGCCCCCCAAGCAAAAACCTATATCCGGAGGTGTATAGGAGGCCGGTGTTTCTTCTAATTCTTGCCATAGCGACCAAGGTTCCCGAAGAGAGGTGACTCCTTTGCGGGACACCAAACGTGTGTGTTGATGGACGGGGTACCCGGATGTATCTTTTTTCACGTTCTTTACAATGCACAAGACAACGATGTGAAGCCTCTTTGCAAGTGACGAATGGATGTTGACTCTGCTTCAGGTTGGTTCGGTTTGTTGGGTTCGTCGGCACTTAGCTACCGCCATCGGCAGCTCGATTCGAAGCGTTCAGGGAACCCGGGCGAGAGTTGGAGCCTGATCCCTTCAGAGCCGGACTGCGGCAAAAATGAAGACCCACTAGGTATGGGTACTCCCTGGAAGATTAACATGGAGCCTGAAAACCGCTGGTTTGTAGAGGAAAACAGTCTTTCCAGGTCCCATTCCCAGGGTCCATGTTAGTTTTCAGGAGTGTACATGGTACATGATCGGCTAGTCTTCTTGCCGAACCCCGCCCAGGGCGGGGTGGACCCTTGGGTTGGACCTGCTCAGGAGCGGCACCATGACGGCGGATCAAGTGAGGGAGGCGGCGGAGGGCGGGTCAAGCTGGAAGGGGAAGGTTCCTGAGACTCAAAGAAAACCGAGATGGGCAAGAGAAGCCCACAGAAATGCAGGAAGAAGCCCCCCGCAAGAAAACTCCGTCTCTGATGGGTCGGTGTTCGGGTCAGGGCTCCGCGTGTTTGGGCGACCGCGCGGAAGATCGCTTGTCAAGTCGTTGGGTTTTCGGCTGGGGTGTGGTGGTGTGCAGAAAATTGGGGGGAAAATTGGGTGAGATTGGCTCTAGTGATTCTCTGGATTCAAAGATTGAAGAAGCTGCCGAGCTTCCTTCAGTTCTCTCAACACAGAAGAGAGCGCGCTGCCGAGCGGCCGGCCGTTGTCAGACGGCGTCCTTTCTCCTGGAAGGCCATGCGAGACACCTTCAAGAAGATGGACAAGGACAAGAGCCCCCCGGCTGACGCGCAGTTGGTCGTCGGTTGAGGAGGTCGGACGACCGGACGCGGATTTGGTCGGAGCTCCGCATTCGGTTGATCTGAGAGAGCGCAGGGTTTATTTGAAGCTTGTCCTTTTAATTTGAGGCTTATATATCATTATTCAATAGAATTCAAGGGTTAATTTGAGGCTTCATCAATTTTGAAGCTTGAATTAAAGGGATCTCACTCTGTTGCTCATCCGAGCGATCCGAACTTGGACCTCCCAATTTCATCCAATTTCTTGGGTCCTGATGAGGTTCGATGGTCGTTCTTCCAATCTCCATACCTCTGCTAGTCATCGCTGGTGAAAAGCCCAGCTGCTCCACCCCTCCCCCTCCCTTCCCTTCTGCACCGGCATGGGACCGACCTGGTTTGTCCTTCCTTCCGCGGGCTCGACGGATTCCCAGGTGGAAGCATCGACATTCAGGAGATCGAGGCGATCGGTTTATCCACCGATGGGGGCAGGTCTCCTGGTGGAGAGAGCGAGCCGCGTGGCGCGGCGCGGCGCCTCCCCGCCGCGCTTTGCGTGATGTCGGGGTAGACAGTCACCAAGATAGGTTGCGGACAGGTCTGTTAACTCGCGCACGCAGCGTCCACTTCAAGACCAGACCGGTCAGAGTTCAGCACCCGAAATGGTCCTGGCTGAAGGTGATTTTGGGGATGTGGTGGTTCAGATTGCACCAGCAGACGTTGGCCTTCAGACATTGAGACTTAGACACAGCTACCAGCACCCTCCAACAGGTCTCCTCTGGTGGCTTTGGAGACTTAAAAGTCGCAGGTGGTGACCTGTTGGAGGGTCCTGGTATATACAGTTGAAATGTTTGGAATGCCAACACTGTGCCTACAGAAGCGCAGTGTTGCATCCGCTTGCCTGTGTTCGTGATTAGACTCGCTGGAGGCACTTATATGGGATTGGGTAGCCATAAAGCCCTTGGATATCTCGGATGCAGATATAAAGGCAGCTGGAACTTCTGACTGTGACGTTTGTCAAGCTGCACTATCCAAGAAGAACAAGAATTGAATAGAATTGGCCTAAGGGACCTACCACGTACAAACAAAACCACCTGCAATAACATCTTCCAGATCGACACCTCTATCACTCCAGCTTCCCAAGGAACATCTATGAAAGTGACCAGCTTGTGCACCGTTTTTTCCCTCCCAACCATCGCGTCGTTGTCAGTTGAGCCATATCAACCCATCCGCCATAGCAGCTGGAGCCATTGTCAGTCGTCCCAGTGCACCAGGAGTTCCTGAAGGAACGCCTACCTCAATTTGGCTCCGGCGCGCTCGCGCTGCAACTGCCGGGACCTCGTCCAGGGATGTACTAGCCTTCAAGAGTTTCAGATTGTGGGGGAGACCGTCGCTCTGGTCGTCGTGGGAGTTCGTGCCCCATATTTTGGGGCGGTTTTGGGCTGTTGATAAGGTGTTTTGGGCACCTCAATCTTGGTCAAGCCCTCCATGCCCAAGTACTCAACCATGCGATTTCCCCATCATTTTCCATGGGATTCTATTGGGCTCTGTGGGCTCTGTGGGCTCTGTGGCATTCTATTGGAACTCTCCAATCATCTTCAATCCGATCTCCCCAAGCGATGGTGCGACCTTCCAACAGTCGTGCTGGTCCTTCAAGGACCCGACAGACAGTTCGGTGGTTTCTGAAGACCTGTTGGACATCCATGGTGTTTCCACCTCTTTGGGATTGTGGTGAGTCAAGATGTTGACACCCAGTCCTTGGCTGAAAAGGGGAGGATTTGTGGTTCGATCCTGAACGCGCTGACTGGTCGAGTCTGGAGTGCCTTCCCGCCCCCCGTCCCGTCCGTCCCGCAGTGTCCGCGGAGCGCGCTCCGCACCGCACTGCGACGCCGCCGCGCCGCCGCGGCGGCGCCAAGCTCCAAGCGCGCCGCAGAGGTTCAAGATGGCCGACAAGGACGGCAGTGGCAGCGTGGAGTTGTCGGAGCTGGTGAATTTTGTGCACTGAACAATGTGGGTCTTCGGATGAGGTCGCTGAAGGCGATCAGGAGTGTGGTTTCTAGTGAATCTGAGCGTTTGGCACCCGGAATTTCTCGATTGCACAAAGTAAGATGGGAACTGATGTTGGAGCATATACTTTGCAACTGGACCATTTCCATCCTTGGGCGCGATCTTCGCATCGGCCTTCGTCTCATCCAGAATACCTGACCTCGGGTCTTTCCGCGGGGCGGCGAGAGTGAAAGCGCCGTCACGCTTCAAAGCGTGGCGACGCGCCCTCCCTGCGACCTGTGAAGTGTCGACCGAAAGACACTCCCCAACGCCCAACGGAGGAAAGAGGGCTTGAGAGAGACCGAAGCAGTTTTCACCTCAAGTGGAAGCTTTGACTTAATTACGGGGCGCCCTGGCGGCTATGGCCGCTGTTGCCAATCATGACCAATGACCATCCTGTGCCATTCACTTGTTGCCATCCTGTGTTGTTTTCCGTCCTGTCCGGTCCTGCTCTCCGAAACCGAAACCCTTTGAAGTCCAGCCCCTCTGGAATCGCTTTCAATTCTGCAGCACACCGCTGGCCCCCCCCCCAGGGAGTCTCGCCAGTCGACACACGTCTGACACCTGGATCACACCAAAAAATGATCCATTTGTCCTCCTCCCATGGGTCAGCTTAGGACAACAATGACAGCGTGTGATACAGTGATACATATTATACTAAAAAGATTATCCATTATTTATTGGGGTACCCGAGAAGGGCCGGGGTTGAAGGTGACACAGGACACCCAGAATTGGCAGAAAGCACATAGGACTCGGGCTTAGCATATGGACTGTTGTGAGTCTGTTCTTTATCAGACTGGACTGTTGCAGGGTTCAGTCGTCATATCAAAGGGTTCAAAGTCTTTTCAGCAGAGCATCAGGTAGTACGCTCCCTGAAATAAACATGGGGACCGAGTGAGTTTACCACCTGTTTGGTCTTCGGAGTAAAAAAAACGCCATTGGCACACATTTCCTTCCATCCATCCTTAACCATATGTAGATGATTTCAGGAAGTGTACCCCAAACATTGGCATCGATTCCTGCCAACTGATAAACCCTTTTGGGAGAGACCTGAAACGTGTGTAGCTCAATGAGGGGAGACCTCGCAGACGCACGTCTCGTCTCCGTGGTCTCCGGTGGTTGTTTACGCCGGAACAAAAGAACGCTCGTGTGGTCCTCAAGCACGTTGTACTGCAATCTTGGAAACATACCTGGAGCTTCAAAGGGGTGTCCAATGGAGATCCCTAGGTAGTGTAGGGGCTTCCATTGGGTACCCCTTTGAAGGTGCTGGTATATATATGTGTGTGTGTGTGTTTTTTTTTTTTCAGCAGATGTTTAATACATCCATCCCTGGAATTGCTCCGGAAAATGAGACTCCCGGTGTAGATTTAAAGGCTGCTGGCTGGAAGACCCTGCAAATGTCAGTGGAAAGGTCCTTCTGCCCTGTGGCCCAGCCATGAATCAAGCGGTCCATCCGGGAAGTGCTGCTGGCAAAGCCACGCGCCGCACACGCGCCGCACTCTGTTTTTTTCGCACCCTCCGAAAACGAGCAAAACACGATGTGATGGCGTGTGATGTCCGATGCGTGAGGGATTTGGACAAGGGAGTGGTAAAAAGACCTAAATCGGACGTGAAGACCTTTCATAACGACTGCCAATCGAAGAAGACCGCCCAAATCAAAGGTGGAACACCTGGTTTGGACAGTGCACCGAACTGTCATGGGGAACTGTGTCGGAGGCAGCACAGTGAACTGGCAAGCAATGTAGGCCCAACCCCAAGTGACCTTTCCTGTTCGAACCGTTCGAGGCGCTTGTGGCATGATGCATCTCATTCTGCACCAAAATCATAGGCCAACTGGTGTCAACGCCGGAGGTCTCTCCTCCTTCCTACCCACACGAGTTCCGTGGTGTTCGACCTGTTAGGGATCCAGTAGAGTGGTGGAAGAGTCATAAATGCATCAACCCCCCCCCAAACCTTTGTTGCCACGCGCTGGCTGAGCTGCCGTCCGGAACTGATTGATTCCCACATTTGGAGGGTAAAGCCATGTAAAGTAGACACCCATACCGGCGCGATCTTCGGTGGAGTGTCCAGCCCAGCTGCGTGGCCTCGCGCTTGGCCCAAAGATTCCCAACGTGGAACAAGCACAGTCCGGCCATGACGCCGGCGGAAGAGGAGGTTCTTCGCGTCCAAGCGGTCATCGCGGATGTCTTGGGCTGAGTCAGGATGGTGGGGGAGAGGTTTGTTCGTTCAAGGCTCCTTGTCAAAGGAACTGATTCCAAAACCATGCTCTCACTGTGGCTGCAAGATTCACTGCTAATCCGGATCTTTTTCTTAAGATCCCGTCTTGGAGACGTATCTTGATATGTTGATGTGGGAACACCACAGATTCTCTTTTCTTCAAAACATTTGGACCCATAGCACACAGCAGACAATTGCTGAGGTAGTGCCTCAGAAAGAGCTGGACGAGAGGCATGACAGCGGCATGGGATCCTCCTGTGAGTTTCAGAATTCATCCCTTCGAACCTGGCTGAGCACCTTTCGAAATGATTGGGTTGCGGCACATTGCAGAGGCACCTTTCGGAAGATTAAAATACACACACACACACACCCATGCACACATAAGATGCATGCCTTTCGTTGGCCCAAACCCATAAACCCTAAAGCCTCCGGAGCTAGAACAGCAAACACCATCACCAAGCCCCACCCCCCAAAAAGCCCCTGTCACCTGGCCTTTTCACTCCTGGTTCGCCCTCCCGCCTCGCTTCGGTCAGGAGACAGACCGAGATCGAGGCCGACAGTGAAGGCAAGATCGCTCGTTCCTTGGTGCAGACGCCGCGGAGACCGAGCGTCCCGGCGCGAGCATCGTGCATCGTGCACGGGACACGGCGACACGGCGACACGGCGAATGGCGGGTGTTTCACCGGTGTCGGGCTGCACCGAGCGGTTTGGTAGATCTTCTGGACCTGCCGGTGGGATGTCCGCCTTTTCTGGTCCAAACCCTGCTTCCGGGAGCGGTGGTTTCAGATGGCCAGGGAAGAGTGAGGGTGGTTGGTTTAGGAGGGGTGCCGTCTCTTTTTTTGGAATGTAGAGTGTTGATTGTAAGTCTCTATATATGGGGTCAGAAAAAAGCCGGTTCGGATGGCAACATGTTGACCTTATCGAATTGGTGGTTTGGGAGTTGCCCACACGGTGCCCGGTGCAGAGGAGGTGTCGTGGACTTCGGACAGAAAGCTGAAGATGAGTGGCGTGGGTTTTGCGAAGATAGACCTCCAGATAGAAAAGTAGATCCCCATTTGAACATGTATTGGACACCGTGCCACTCATCTATTTGGGGATCGCACTATGCTTGAAAGAGAGACCATGGAAGATGTAACAACCCCCACCTGTCTTTTCGCGCGGCACGCGTGGCAGAGGCACGCGTGGCGTGGACCACGAATCCGTTCGTTCTGATCCAAACACCTCCGACAGCAGGTCCTTCTTCATCTCCGCTCCGCCCTCACAGGTTAGTGGGATCTCAAGGCCCTTCTTCATCCTTCTTTTTGGAGTCCACTTTCTCGCTCAAAAGTATATATGACAGACTATGACAGTAGATGCAGAGAAAGAAGCACAGGACGTTTGATCATGTCCTACCCATACAAGAGTATCATGTCCGGAGCTTCCAAGAAGCCCCTGGAAAAGGATCTCCTTCTCCCGATTTCGTTTTGAGAAAACGGCAAAACGCCTTGAGGAGATGATGCGTCCACGCGGGGATGCCAAGGTCAAGCTACTCCTTCTCCTTCCCGTCCGTTTCTTTTTTTTCAGGGTGTGAGGAGTGTTTGCCAGGGGAAGCGAGCTGCGAAGATCTTCGCTTCAGCAAACTGCGGTTGGTTTCGACCCATGGCCCATGATAATAGAATTAGAATTAAATAGTAGTAGACTTAATTACTATAATACTTGCTACTCTTTCTTCAAGATCTGATCATGATGGATGGAGTGGAGGCTTGCAAGACCCTTCCCTTTCTCTTCCTTCACTTAACTGCCTTGTAAGCCTCCACCTTTTTGCCAACATGTGTGCGTGCGCGCACGGAGTTCATTTCGACTGGGACCTCGGCCGGGAGAAGACCACCCAACCAGCCGTCCTCACCGCCGGTCCGGCCGAGGCCATGTTTCTTGAAGAGACGGCCGCACTTGCTCTGGCTGCCCGTGGCAGGACGGAACTGAACACGAAATCCCGCCGATGGCCTGGATCGCCGGCGATTGGGGTCCGCAGACGAAGGATTAAAGGCCATCGACTGTGAAGGCGAAGGATTTTTTTTATCTGGCATCTGCCAAGCATGGCAAGATTTCTGCCAGGCTTGGGCTGGCTTCATGGATGAAAAGGCAGACATGTTGCATAGGAAGAGTCCAGGAATTATCCCATCAGTGTTGGATTCCATTTCTGTCACAAAGGTGTCATCACCTCCACACTTCACTGGACGGTCGGAGAAAGAGTTGCGACCCACGTGGGCCCGACTGCGACCAACGTCACCTTCCCGATTCGGATCCATGAGGCATGTGTTTGGCCCCGAGTGGAGCGCCGTCCTCACGGGATCCGCGATCGGCCTGCCACCGTCGCTTCCCCATCGCTTCGCTTGCACCGGTCGATGGAAACGCGGAGCCGCGCGCGGTTTCCGCGGCCCGCGGCTCATGACGCAGGATACCTCTGTGCGGCCCTGGTCCATGATGCCCAAAGGGCACTGGCTCCTTGGTGGGAAAGATGGAGCATACGTGCATGCCGACATCCGGATTTGACGAGGACATATTGAAAGATGTAGCTGGAAAGATGGTCTGTGGATGCAGTGAAGGTCTGTGGTTCTTTTCTTTTCATGGATGTGATGGTCTCGTCACCGCAGATGGATACACCGGGTGTATCCCATTGCGTAACAGTCGGCAAGAGGTGATCAGTGTCTCATCATCCTGGGACCTTGGACTTGGGACTTGGGCCACAAGAGTTTGGATCTTGGAAAGTGGGATGGTAGCTTGTGGTTCATATAGATGATTGATGGTATCAAGCTACCATCCCACTTGTGGTCTGCTCCACTCTGACACCCAAGCTGCTTGATAAATATTGACACATGGGCCAGCTTGATGGATCTTGAACCCCCCCGGGCCAGCTGGATCAACCAGAAGAGGTGCCTGAGGACTGCCGGTTCCGGTGCCACCAGCCCTGACACCTTCGGCGTGAAGCGCGTTTTTTACCGGAACGACCATGGGTCGGATTGGGCTTTGCTTGTGCAGGTGCAGGAGGATTAGCAATGCTGCCCATCCGAAGATCATGTCATTCATATTGTTTGATCATGTCATTCTTTCTTTCTTGAATCCCAAGACATGCGCAATCCCAAGACACAAACATGCCTCCCCATCCGCTGCGCTGAAGGCGCGCACCGCGCTTCCCTTGAGAAAAAGGTGCACGGCACACCGCCGAGACGGTCTGGCACGTTCCGCCGAGACGCTCAGGTCCCCGTGTGTCTTGCGGCGGTGATCGCCGTCTGTCAACTTTGGTGCCTGATCGATTCGATGGCGGAGTTCGGGAGTTCGGGCGGTTTCTCACGTGAAAGGAAAGTCTTTGGCTCGATCGGGTGAGCTAGGGTTTTTTGCCATGGCAGATCCAAACCATGCATGTCCGGAGATTCTCAGAACATGTTTTTGTCCACTTCTGGCTTAGGAACACAGTTTAAATCGTTTAATTTCTTTATGGTGTCAGTGTAGATGGGAGTGTGGTTTTGACGGAGAAGCATCTAGGACGTTTGCAAGGAAGAGATGTTGGAACATCTCTATTCACAGACCCTTCCACACAGCATGCACCCCCTCAGTGATATTGAGGCATGAATGTCATGTAGTTCTTGGAGTGTGCCCTCGCGACCCGGGTCTGTTCGATCAATCAGACACGTCACAATAAAGCGCGGCGTCTACCAGAAACCGTCGCTTCGCTGTTCTCCGTTGGTCTGAGAGGTGGTGTCTGCATTCGGGAAGGTGTCTGAAAGACGAAACAATTGTTAAGTTATTATATACACAGACTCCAGACACATCTACAACACGATACAAGTTGTTTCTACATACTGAAGATGTGTGGAAGATGTCCAGAAAGTTTCCTGTGAACTTGAGCGTCACGTGCAGGTTTGCCTGCAGGTTTGGCTGCAGTCACCTGCACCGACTGCCCTTCGTCTTGGGGGGCTCTGAAAACGTCCCCGCATCCAACGTGTCTCCCCCGTTGGGGTCCGGAAGAAGCTCGACCGGACTTGAGGGATGCCTTTCGCGCTTGGAGAGGGAAGGACCTGGAAGAATCCGCCTCTCGGCACGAGATGGAAAGCAGGTGTCCCCTGTGGTTCATGGGATGTCCATTGGATGCTTGGACAAGCACGGGTGAAGACAGACCCTCCAAGAATTCCTTCTTTTTCCCCCAGAGAGCTGCAGAGAGCTGCAGATAGGGCTTCTAACCTCTGCCCCGGTGTGGCTTCTAACCTCGGCGGTAGAACGTCTATGCCGGTGGTCTATGCCTGTGGTCGTTGCGGCTACTCTCGCGCGGTGGGAGCGAACGAAGAGACCGGACTGCCGTCAGAGCGGACCAGACCGAGGCATGCTGGTGGACCTCCCAGGTGGCACCCTTCACACGCTGGATCCTAGGCGGGGAGGAGGGACAAAGGGGGAGGGAGATGGGACCAGCTTCCAGCTGTTTCTTTTCCAACAC